GGGCTTTGTGCTGACAGCTCAGAGCCTGGAGCCTGCTTTGGATTCTGTGTCTCCCTCTCTCTCTGCCCTTCCCCTGCTCACACTCTGTCTGTCTCTCTCTCAAAAATAAATAAACATAAATGAGAAATTATTTCTTTCATAGATATGTTGGCAAAACCATAGCCCTAAGTAGATCTACCATAATAAATGATAAGAAATATACTGGAAAGGATGAAGGAGAAAGGAAACTAAGTACTGGGCAAGTGAACTGGGTAATACTAAGGCTTAAAAATATAGCTACTATGTGGGAAGCAAAAGAATGTTCTGTGTGTACTGAAACATTCAGAGGGTTCATATGCAAAACCACAGAATATGAGCAGCACTTTTGCTTCAAGTGTATAAAATTGCAGGCGGGTCATTGTGATTTTGTTTCCATGTATCATAGAGAAAACTGGAGGATGGGCTTATTACAAGCACTTAGCACACATCCACAGCTCTGCTGTACTGCCTCCTTTCTCAACCTCTCTCCGCTTTGGGGAGAGGTGGGAGAACCCATCGAAGCGTATCACATGCAGTCATCAAGGCTGGACTGTGACACCAAGGAGAATGGGGACCCTGACTAACTGCTCTGTGTGTCTACTTTTCCAGCATCTAATGCCACACACAGCACTTCTCTAGTCATTTGGTCAGAGCTTTTCTCAACCTGGGGCTGACGTTTCTGAGGGTCTGTGGACAGACTCCATAGACTTTGTGAACTTGAATGGGAAAGAGATTACATCTTTATTCTTACTATATTCTAACAGAACTTTAGCTTCCCCTTTAATTATGAATATAAGCAACAAACATCAGTAGTCTTTACAGTACCTGTGACTTTGTCACCAATAGAAATCATAGATATTTTCATATTATGGTACAGTTGGGGCAGATATCTTGAAGCATCATCGACACTCATCATTATTTCAAATTTATGGCAGTTTTCAGACCTACCGCTGGATACTATTATCTAATACGTTAGTAAAGAAAGGTATATATCACAATGCTACAATTTGTTTTGAAAATATTTTTATAACTGTATTTCAATATAACTGGTTTTTCCTCTGTATTCCTATGTTTTACTTTGTGCATTTAAAACCATTCCTCTAGGGGCGCCTGGGTGGCTCAGTTGGTTGTCTGACTCTGGATAAGGGCTCAGGTCATGATCCTAGAGTCGTAAGATTGAGTCCTGCACGGGCTCCGCGCTGAGTGTAAAGCCTGCTTAAGACTCTCTTCCTCTCCCCCCTCCCCTCCTGGTATTCTGTCTCTTCTAAAAACAAAACAACAAAAAACAACAACAAACAAAACGTAAAGTTACTTGAGGCAGCTCTTTCTGCTCACAGGTCCTGTTCCCATGCTACAATAAAACCACTTGGTTTCTTGGAAAACAAACAACAAAATATTATATTAAGTTAAGGCTTCATCATACGACCAAATGTCCACACTACAAGACTCTCTTCTGTTGTTTAAATGTTCATTTGTTTTTGAGAAAGAGAGTTTGTGTGTGTGCGCACGCTCAAGTGAGGAAGGGGCAGAGAGAGACAGGGGGACAGAGGATCCAAAGCAGGCTCTGTGCTGTCAGCGGGACTGAACTCATGAGCCGTGAGATCATGACCTGAGCCAAAGTAGGACGCTTCACCAACTGAGCCACCCAGGTGCCCTGATGGCACGAAAAACTCTTAACTGCACATTTATTTGCGAGAACCTGTGCTTAATCCCAGTTGAAAGAGTACAATATATTTAAAATCTAGAAAAGAAACTAACATTAATTCACCAAAATTGTTTATTGGATTTATTCAATATCACCTATACAACATACCTACAAAGTACAAGAAATAGGAGTCAAGTTTTTCCAATTAACCTTAGAATACATAATTGGGTAGGATATGGGTGATCTTCTTGAAAAGACGGGAAAGTGGGGCGGGGTGTTACTTTTTGCCTTGAGAAAATACTGGTACAATTTTTTTTCCCTTTTAACAAAAAAGGCCATAACCCATGTTGAGTTTATATAGTCCAGATTCTGAACTTTGGTTTAAAATAGAGAGTAAACAGGGATAACTTTATTATAGTATAGGCAACCTGGTTAGAAAATGTGTCGTGTTCTAGACTTATCCCTTTCAGATGATACAGTCAAACCAACAGTAATTAGATCCCTTCTCATTGAGTTAGCTGGAGACAATGAAGAACAGGTACTCCGGTTTTGTAGACTTGGAGGAGACAGACCAGGCAGAAGGCAGTCCAGGTGAGACAGATGGGAAAGGGAATTTAACAAGAATTTAACAAGTCGGAATTGAACAAGCTCAAGTCTAAGATCTACACTTGGAATCCTGCTCGGGTGACAGCTTAAGACTAACTCTTCCCTTTCAGCATGCTCAGAACCACCAGGCGCCAAGATCACAACCACCTCACGTGCATTCCAACCTCAGGGCAAGAGTGTCCCGACAGGTGCATGCTTTATCCTAGGATACGGGGAAGGAAAACGACTACCTACTCGGAGCCACTTCCGCCTTTGTTCATAACACCCAAATAAACGCACAAGTCCTGGTCCATTTGTTTTTTTGTTACATAGCCAAGAGACAAGAGGGTTAAGTATATTTGGAATATGACAGAGCGCTAAGGAGGAGTTAAAAAGGCTATCTGTAGGTACTTAAACAAGAGGAAATCCATTCTGTAGCAGGTATATATTAATATTTCCATTTTAAAGTTGAGGAACCTAAGGACTGAAAAACCGTATACTCATAAAGCTTGCCCAAGATAACAGCTAGCAAGTAATAGCATACAAAGTCTAACTCCAAGGCCCATGGAGTTATATATATATTTTTAATTTTACTTTTTAAAATTTACATCCAAATTAGTTAGCATATACTGCAACAATGACTTCAGGAGTAGATTTCTTAGTGCCCCTTACCCATTTAGCCCATTCCCCCTCCCACAACCCCTCCAGTAACCCTCAGTTTGTTCTCCACATTTATGAGTCTCTTCTGTTTTGTCCCCCTTCCTGTTTTTATATTAGTTTTGTTTCCCTTCCCTTATGTTCATCTGTTTTGTCTCTTGAAGTCCTCATATGAGTAAAGTCATATGATATTTGTCTTTCTCTGACTGACTAACTTCACTTAGCATAATACCCTTCAGTTCTACCCACGTAGTTGTCTATGGATGAATGGATAAAGAAGATGTGGTATCTATATACAATGGAGTCTTACTCGGCAATCAAAAAGAATGAAATATTGCCATTTGCAACTACATGGATGGAACTGGAGGGTATTATGCTAAGTGAAATTAGTCAGTTGGAGTTATATTTTTTAACATCACATTTTTTAACATGAAAATCTGGTAAAGATTATATACCCCTTCCCCGGAAAAGTGAATATCATCACACATGCATTACATTTTCAGGATCTTGACTGACTCTTGAATGCTTTGGAATCCCCACTATTCCTGGACGTCTTAATGTAATGATTATTTCATAGGGTAGTAAGTGGTAAGTATACAAGAAAGATCCAACACTGAGTCTAGAGGAAGGAAGAAAGGTAGGAGCAGAGGTCACTGCAGCCGAGTCTGGCAGGTGCTTCGCGGAAGCAGCACTAAAATGAAATCCTGGCACTTGCTGAGGAAGAGAGAGTAAAGAGGAGGCTTTCTTAGGGAGGTGTGGGCAGCACCCAGTGCACGTGGCAAGAAAGCCCGAGGCAGATATTGAGAAGAAGGGAATACGTAGAATGCAAGTTGGACTAGATGCTAGAGTAGACTGGGCAGCTGCCTCCCCAGGTGCACCCCTGCTTCCGAGGCCTGGTGTGGACTGACCCTGCTCTCAACTCCAGGGCAGGGCCCCGCTGGCCTAAGCTCATCAAGGCAGGTTCATCCCTTTGGCCACAGTGACTGTGTGCACAGGGTACAGCTAGTGCCGTCAAAGGGAAAACCATGACTTAGAGGGAGAGAGGCAGGCTAAGAAGAATAAAGTCTCAGGACCTGCTGGTCCTTGTGACCAAAACGTGGAGCCAAGTCTAGGACAAATCCAAGTGGAGGAAGACACAAGGAGATGGAAAGAAACAAGTCTTTGGGGATACCACAGAGCTCCTGTATCAAACCTCTCCTACAGCCTACCTGTCCCTGAAGCTAATGCATTTCTTTTATTATGTATGGAATGGTCTTCATGCACCAGGATACTCAGATTACATTCTGGGTGACTGATAACCACTGACTATTGTTCACTAAGCGAGAGAATAATTAAAACTTTTTTGCAAGACGATTCAACTGGCAGAGAGGTATGGAAAAAAGGTTAAGTGGGGGAGGGACTGGAATTTGGGAATGAGGGTCTGAATTAGGATGATGGCAGTGAGCGCAGCAGGGAAGGCATGGACAAGAGAAGCCATGCAGAAAAAAACCGGAACTCTGGTTCTGGTTAGATGGGAGCCAGACAAGGCAGAGTTCTGCCACTGGATTCATCCCCTTTGACTTCTGATTACTTACCACAGGAATGTAATACAATAACACAGTGATCTCCCCCAAATCACAAACTTCTAATTTTAATAGTCTCAAGTATTTCATTAATTGGACCATGCACAATGTGAATGTACCCAGAAGAAAGATGAACATAAAACAGTAGCAAGACAAATAATGTCCCTTGCTGTCTTATTTGCATGCACACCTCTGGTACCAGAGAGACTGGGCGACCATATAATTTAGGACACTTTTGAGAGGGAGAGGGGCACACAGCTAATAATTATGCCAGGGCAATGAGGACATAGGATAAAAAAGCATCTGATGTTAACTCCAGAAAAGAAATGGTAAAACAGGCAGATTTTGATTACTGAGGGTCCTGTTTATCTGTTTGTAAGAGACTCTCTCATCTCCTGCCGCCATTTATAAAACAGCCAGTGGCCTGTTCCTTTCTTCAGGATTCAGGAATCCTGACTCCTCCTTCCCCACCACGTCTACAGGAAAACACCCTTTGGACATCCTGAGTACGTCCACCGGCTATTTGTAGCAAAATTACTCACCCACTGATTCCCACGACAAATGTTTTCATAATTAGCTTTGAAAATCACGTCTTCGTAAAATTTCCTAAAAATTAAAAAAAAAAAAAAATTGAACGTGTATCACTTGGATATCTAAAGAAATAAGACCCCTAAATTAGGAGAGCCAGCTGAGGGGGAAGGATGATCATGACCTCTGGGGAACCCCACCCTGGATTATCCACATTCAGGAGAAGAGCTTCACCTCGTACCAGCTTCTCTGTCGTACTCACAACAGCTGGCGTGTGCTCCAGGCTTATAGGCCAGAGTCTCAGAGACCACACACGACAGAGGTTCATAACTCTGAAACTCAGTTTTAAGATTCAATCACCTGGAGATGACCCGTTTATTTCCCCAGTGGCAGGGAACCCACAGAGCTGGGGGGAAACGTCACTGCTGGCCAGAGGCAAAAAAGTGAATTCCCTTTAAGGGTACTATTTTCTCACTCAAAAATCAAAGTCCAGGGCCAGGGTAGACACACTTTTTCAGAAAAGGGCCAGGTAGTAAATATTTGAGCCTTTGGGAGGCAAGAGGCAAACTCAAAGTTATTACGTAGGTACTTCTACAACAAGAGAGAAAACAAGTTTGCATAACGGTTTTTTTTGACGGAAGTCAAAACTAATAATGGAGTACAGTTTTGTTGTTGTAATACACATCTACTAACGAGAAGAATGGAATTCCTTTCTTACTGGGATAACATCTCTCTTGCTGGATTTCAAAGTTAGCGTTCCTAATCAGAAAACTGACTGCAAATGTTCAAGCCTAGGGCCAGGTTTTAGCCACAGGTCATTGTTTGTTGACCCTGCGTCTAGTGGGTGGAGGGCAGTTTCACACAAGGCCCCCTAAGGTTCAGTAAAGCAGTCCTATGGATATTCTAATGGAGTGTTTTCACCTCTTTACGTGAAAAGGAGGCGCAGCTGCAGGGAATCTCACAATAGTGCTTCCTGAGGGTTGCCTGAACTAATGCTGCTCTTTATTCTGGACTGGCCTGGTGGGGTGATCAGGGAGCTAATCTGGGCCACTGGGGTGAGTGGCCACAGAGCTGGAGACCCCCAGCAGCCCTCCCAATTCCCATCGCTGATCTGTGTCCAAGCGACTTATTTTCTTTCTTCTTTCCAAGCTGCTAAAAAGCACTTTATTACCAAGAGCAAAGAAAGGATGCCCGTATGTGCTGGCTTAATTGTGAGGCTCTCATGTATAATAGATGTCATTTTTATTGATGTATTATTAATGGCTGTGAACACTGAGTGGCAAGGGCTCCTGGTCCCCCTGCTTCATGCCACAGCTGTGCATACACATGAGGATATTGGATCAATTACACAGCATGCAAAGAACAAGTGTGGCTGTGGCACTGGAGAGACGCTTGAGGGGATTATCTGGGTGGCAACGAGCAATTCAGAAATAAGGAGTGAGAGTCAAAAATGTACCTGTAAAATTGCTTGGGCTCAGGAGGGAATTCCCACAGTCAAATGCAAGTTTTTATCGAAACAGGAGCCCTTAATTCTATGGTAGTCAGCAGTCTCAGCCTGCCCAAGACTGTTTGGGTAAATGTCGGCTACAATTTAGTAGCACCAATCACGTGACCATGTGCTGAGAGGGGTGGGGAACTGGGAGAAGCCAAAGCAAGACAGGTGCTGGGGTGAGGGTGGGCCCAGCAATACCAGAAGTCATTTATTTCAGAAACCGCACTGGATGCACAGGGCAGCCCCAAGGTGAACTCCAAGTGCAGGGCTGGAACTGTCCACCTCCACACTTTGTGTTATTACACTGCCTGCTGCCCACTTTGAGAACTATTTTAAAATCACACTTAAAAGCCAGCAATCAAGACTTGCCCCACTCCAAATATATGTAGTAGCAGACCCCATGAGGCGAAAACCAGCTTGATCAACTACAAACTAAATCATGGGCTGTCCCTGGAGAGACAACCCCTATTTGATCTGGGGCATCTGATTCCCTGGACTCATGTATTTTATTTTCTCAGCACAAAGTTTTCCTCAACAGCAGAGTCATTTACATGGGGGGGGGGGGGGGGGGGGGGAAGAAACTAAAATAGCCCAGAGCAAACCCAAAATGAGTATTTTAATTTCTTCTGATACCTTTTTTACTCTAAGTAAGATAGGATGCTGAATCCTTTTTTCACTACTTGTATGTGCTTATTCCGTGTATTCCACTACTAACCGAGGTACGTTTTGGCCTCTAAACCGCAAAACGGTCAGAAGCGGTATGTGCAGAAATCAGCAGATTATAAGGAAGAGAGCAACTCTTGAATACACGTAACGAAATGTACCTCTCAGGGCATCTAAAGAACAGTCGGATATTTTGAAACCGGTGACATGTTTCAGGACTTCTCACTTAGTTGTTTTGTTCAGCAGATATTTTGATTATCTTCTCCCACACAACAGGGAAGTCTTTTCCTACTATTGTTTAAACTTTGCTCCCTTTTAGTAAACAGAATTTCCGAATACTCAGCCCAGGCCCCTCTCCCTTGGAATCACTTTTATCTTTCACTAACCCCCAGCAGAAACTTTCAAGCTTCCCTTTACATAGACCCTCCTGTAAAGTTTTTTCTTTTAGGTTTCTTTTTTTCCTTCCCTTAAAGATACAACTGATTTTATTACATAGACTGTGCTATTTTGAACTGAACGCACATTTGTATTTCTTGTATGCTCTGGCCCTTGCCTCCCACTGGAGATTCAATCTGCTCGGTGAGGGGTCGGCGAACTTCTGTGAAGTGCAGACAGTCAATGTTTTCGGCTTTGGGGACAGCAGCTCAGCTCTGCTGTGGCGAAGAGAAAGCGGTCACAGGCAATATATAAGCCAAATGAGCATGGCTGTGTTCTAGCAAAACTTTATGGACACCGAAATGTGAATTTCTTATAACTTTCACGTGCCACAAAAATCTTCTTTTGATTTCTTTTCAGCCTTTTTAAAATGGTAAAAATCATTCTCAGTTAGCAGGCCGTACAATAATAGGTGGCAGGCGGGTCGTGGTGAGTCCACCACAATACTCGTGGAATAAAAGGCTGTCTCCTCTCGTGGGGATCAAGAGCTGGCCCTGTCCCTGGTGACTTCACAACCCTACCACCTCTCGGTTGTCTCTTACTAAGGATTATCATGGGCCGTTAAAGCACCACGCCACCACGGACACATCCTCCTCGGCAGGCCATCTAGCAGCCCGTTTGGGGTGTTGAGAGTCCCAACAGGGCTCGAAAGACGCAACCAGGTTCGGGGTCCAGCACTGCCACACATCGGGAAGACCTTCAGGCCTCGGCGACGCTGCGCAGCGCGGCCGGGTCGCGCAGATACTCACCGGCGCCAGTTCGAGTCTTCCCAAGCAAAGCTGCACAGGCGCTGGCCCAATGCGCGCC